AAAGTGCCGCACAGTCAGACGCGATGAATCAACGAAAAACTCAAAAACGAAAAATACTTTTGATGTTCAGAGTTGTGCGCTCAATAAGGACGAGTGTGCTCTAAATGCGATACCTAGTTAAGAACATTTTGCGCACGATTTGAAAAAACTGTAGCAAAAACCATTTTTCATCGCGATTTTTTAAAATAAATTTATCCGAAATGAAACAGACTCTTCAAGTTTAGAGTTGTGGGTGCTGTAATGAAGAGTGCGCTCTAAATGTCGTCAAAATTTCTTCAAACCTTCAAAAATTCACTCAAATCACACATGAGATGCTGAATTTTGCGCACTTTGTAAATATAGATCTGAAAGAGAACGCTTTAACGCCACTGCAGACTATTCAATAAAAAATAACAACTTGGAAAATTGACATTCAGATGAGCCTGATCAGAAGCTTCAGATGAGCCTGATGTAAAAATATACAGGGTGATTCAAAATTGGCATTCCTTTTAAGGGGTATTAGGGGCTCACTGGGAAGGTATGAGAAAAATATTTATATTTTTTCGATTTCGAAACGTTTCACTCTGTAGAAACTTTATCAGAACCACTAATTTCCGCTTTAAACTGAACAAGCATTTAATACAGGGTGTCCCGTAAAGACATGTAAATGAGCTGCCAATTGAATATCGTATGGCCTAACTTTTATTGAGAAAAAATGTGCGGTGATTTATTCAGTTATTGATGGTCAAAGTGAAAAATTTCGTTTTTAAGATCGGAAGCGCGCTCAGATGGATTTTAATGAAACTCTCTTTGAATTGACGCAACCAAGTTTGTCTGCTTTCGACAAGCCAGGAATTTTTGAGTGCCTTGATTCGAAAACTACCAGAACTTTCAATTTGGTAGCCAAAATCAACTGAATTTTTTGAGGCGATCCTTTTTGAACATTTTTGGGCTCTTTGTAAAACCTTGTGGCATTCATAGCTTTTGCGCAAAAAAATTATGTTTCCTTGCTGTTTAACAATTTCAGACAGTCTGCAAACGTAGGTTTAAAAACTAAAACAATTTTCATTAATTTTTAACTGACCGACATGGTCCAGAGTCTTAGTTCTACTTTTAAATCGCGATTTTGAGAAAACTAATAATCCAAAAGCAGCCGCCTTTAGTACATATAAAAGACATCATGATCCTTTCGATCGCTCAAAATTTTAGAGCTCCAGCTCAAAAAATGACGGAGCTATGAATTTTCGAAAAACCGCCCAAGAAACTGACTATCCGATTGGGGCGTTCGACCCCTCATTTTGTAGATATTTTTATTCTCTACAAATCATTTCGTTGCGGCATTCCGATTGCTCCATTAGATTTAAAGTTGTAAACAGAAAAAGACAAAATATCATTTTTGTGCAGTAAACTAGACGTTAATATCTACAACAATTTTTGTAGTTAACATTTTTCTGGAAATTTTAAATTAGATCAAAAGTGGGGTGGCCAAAGTTCAATCAATAATGGTTATTAACTCAAAAACAGTTGAAAATCATTACAGAACATTTATATGGAGAAGGCTTAGAATTGTGCGAGTAGTTTGAATATGCAATAAAAAGTACGGCATCCCATTTAAAAAAAGGTAAGTTTGGTCTGCCACTTGCATTTGCGACACCCTGTATCAATTATCTAATATAATATCTACAACTTTTGTATTGAAGATTTTTCTTTAATTTGGAAATTGGATGCTAAATCGTGGTGGCCAAAAGTTTCCTCTCTCCATCTCTCCATCCAGTGCTCCAGCTAAATCTGATGCTGAGAAATGGGCAAAAGTGTGGCAGAATCCATAACATTTAGGCCTAATCTTGCACATCTTATTCAAATTTCGCCGTTTGTTTCAATTTTATTTCGTTTATTTGAAAATTTCCTGCGAAGTAACCAAAAGCTCAACCGCAACCAAACTTACACTATAAC